CGCATCAAAATACATAAAAGTACATAGTATAAACAAGTTGTAAATGCAGATGTTCATTACATGAACATTTTGCTTCCTCTTTACGATCAGCAAAAAAATTTGCTTCCTCGTGGAGAAAGCAAAATTTTATTGACAAAATGTGATTTTGATTTTTAACTTTCATTAATTCTTTAATTTTTCCTCAAATGTATACTTTATATATATCAATCGATTCGTCTTGACGTAAGGAATACAATTATTTCATATATAAACTTCAATTTAAAAAATAACAAAATTTTATAGCCAAAATGTGAGTTTTTGATTTTTTAACTTTCATTAATTCTTTAAATTTACCTCAAATGTATACTTTATATATATCCATCGATTTGTCCTGACGTAAGGAATACAATTTTATTATATATAACCTTAAATTTTTCTATTTAAAAATTTTTTCGATTGAAAAAAAATTTTTGGAAAAAAGACGGTAAAATTTTTTTTTGGGTATTTTTCAAAATCCTTTGGTCAGATTTGAGATATTAATATGATAAATGAGCCTACCAAATTTTATTTAAATCCATTAAACCTGTTAAAGTTATCTTCTAAACAAAAAAGGGATCCACACACACACATACACACACACATACATACATCCGGACAATTGATCAGGATCTCATATAACATGTTTCTATAAAGAAAAAAAATTGTTTCCGCCTTTTTGAAAAGTTTTATAAACGAAAGGACTACAAAGCTTCCTCCACGAGGAAGCAAAAAAACAAAAATATATTTTAAAAAATCAAAATACAAATTTTAAAAAATTCCGAAAATATAGTAAAAATCGTTTACCCACTATCGGACTCAGCTCAAAATTTTCGTGAAAGGAAGTAGTTTTTTTGAAAAAATCGATCAATACGTCTATTGAGAAAAATTACTTTTTATCTTTAATAATAAACTGTCGCACACGAAAGTGCATAAAATTTGATTTATTTTTACTTGCATCGTCGAGATGAAAAAACAAGCAAGGCAACTTGGGTCTGTCGAGCGAGGATGTCGGGTGGATTCGGCCGATCTCCCCTCCATCCTCGGTCCGACCAATCACGCCAAAAAAACTCCCACTCGTCCAAGAGTGTCGAGTGGAGGGGGTCACAGCTCGCTACGAGCCGTAAAAAGGAACGAACGTCCACCGTCGCGCTCTGTAGAACCTCCGCTACGATACGAGACACATCTGTGTAGTAAAATTCAAAAATAAAATCTGTGTTTCGAGATATTTCTCCTGTTCACTTTCTTTAAAACCTTTGCGCTGATTCCCGCTCGGAGACGCCGATTCGCCATCCTACTTTGTTGACTCTAGGCGACGAGACTTTGCCTTTTCTTATCCTACTGAAACCATCGTGGCAGATCAGCGAGAACGACTTCCCGAAAGGGACAAGATTGTAAGCAGGAACCGACCAAAACCCAGGAATCTTCTAGCTAACAAGAGGCGGCTTGCGCGTCACCTCCAAAGCATCGTGCCCTCCGGGATCCACGTCGTGGTTCCTCCGTCATATCGGCAGATGAAGCAGCTGTAGGGAGAAACCTAGAGAAAGATTGAATTGGAGAGGGGGAACCGCTCTCTCTGGGAGCCGCCGACGAAGGACGAACTCCCCCCTACGCCAGGGAAATCGTTACAGCGGTTCCACATGTATGCGAAGTCGCAGAGTCGTTGCGAGCCCCGTATCCCCACTGCGTCATCTACTCAATGCACTCCCCTCCGTGACGTCAGAAGGGGAGTGCATTGAGTAAATGGCGCAGTGGGGATACGGGGCTCGCAACGACTCAGCGACTTCGCATACATGTGAAACCGCTGTTAGGTTCCTTAAACGCCAGAGATCAGGGGTGCTATTCTCGAAATGAGTTCCGTGCACGAATCGAAGACTTTCGAATAACTTTGACGAAAACTGTATTCTCGAACTGTTCACTAGGCGTTCGTAGACGAAACGATTCGAGTGAAATACAACGAGTGGTCTTAACCACTCGAAGCAACAGTTTCGTGTTCGAATTTTGGTACTGCTCATGCGCAGTAGTATTATTTAATAATATTATGTACACATATTAAAAGGGATTCAAAGTTTCGAATTGTTATAAGTGTAAGAAGTGTAAATAATTATAAGTTAAATTTCATTTAATTTCTAAATATAAGGTAAGTTTGACGTGGACGTTAATATTTGATCCGATAGTAGATACAAAAAAAATTTAAACCTACATAACCACAAAAAACTTAAATAAAGGTAAAAGGAATTTGAACTAATAATTAAAAAGTAATAAAATTAAAAATTGGAAATAAATTTTTCATTAATTATTTTTATCAAAAACTGAAATGATATTTATATTGATTAATTTTTCTTTCGTTTATGCGTACATAAACATCCCCCGCCAAGCGGGGGACACTCAGAGATCAGACCCGACGAAGAAGAGGACGTCCTTCTTTTGGACAGTTCTCCCATTCAGGAGGCGGAATTACGTTAACTTTCAATTGCTAACTTCAGAATTACGGTAACTTTATTTGTTTGTAAAATATTTCATTTGTTATAAACATTAATTAATTAATTATTGTCTCGAAAAAAACGTCCTTCTAGTTTTTTTTGGTATTGAAAGTATATATCTTAATCTGCATTTTGAGTCATTAAAAAGGTGTTCCGATGTAAATCGTTACTTATATTAGTTGGTATCTGTATGCGTTTTTGCCTCTCTCGATCAGTCAGCTATTTAGTTTTTCGTGTCAGCGTGCCATGAAAATGTGTTCTGGCAGTTTTTCTGCGTGAGGATCTGCGCATGTTTGTGCCGCTTAAAGGCCCGATTGTCAGCGTCGTTATCTAGGTTTTCCAGGGAGCTGCCGCCAAAATCATCCAGGGAGAAGGATGGAGCGATATAGGGGTGACGAGAAAAAGGGATAGCGCACCCCTCTTAACAGATTACGAGATCTAGGAAAAGTCGGCGTCAATAGGCAGTCGATTTTCGATCATATTGAAAGAAAGACCCTCTCGCGGGGCTCATAATTAATTATCGCGTTACACGCTTAATTGTAGGGAATGAGTGACGTACACTTAACGTATGATAAGAGTGGGAGACGGTCGGGGAAATGAGGATAGAGATCAGATTGACTCGCGAACCGCTACCGTGTTAAGTTCGATGTATAAAAAGTATAATGAATGTATATCTTTATTTTATGTGGAGTGACTTTTTTAACCTGTAAATTATTTGTTTTAATAAATATACGTACCAGATAATCTTACATAATTATTCTTTTAAGTAATTGTTATATGTTTTAAATAAATCTTTATCCTTGTTAACTAAATATGAGTTATTGTTTGTGTTATTTGGATTTATCAGCGTCAGGCAACGTCGTCTTAGTGTCGGCATTTCAACGTTGCTGAGTTCCTTCATGGTTAATCTTATTCTGGGATCATCAATGCACCGATGGTTTAACTTGGTTGGAATCTCCCTTTGGTATTTTTCAGCGTAATTTGTGATCATTATTTAGCGTTCGGTTAATGTGGACGGTGCACGCGGATTTTTATTAACGCGCGAAAGTCTATCATTATAACGGGTCTATTGTTTTCTAAAATTTTATTAAACGTTGATCTAAAAATTTTTATTTTAAGTTATATATTAACGTATAATTAACTAAGTAAAGAAATAAAAAATAAAATTTTTATGTTAGAAATGAAAAAATTATTTAACCCTTTAAGGTGCAAATTAACTATCGTAATAATAATTCCTCAACATATATCATTTTTAAAGTTTTTGGTATGCTGATTACGAATATGATGTCGGATTTAATATGGCGGCCCAAAAATTAAAAATTCATCAGATTCGTATAAAACAGTTGCCAAAGGGGTTTTCGGGGCCGCTGATTACAAATATCATGTCTGTTTTTGCAAATTCAAAATGGCGGTTTTAATATGGTGGGTGAAATTTAAAAAATTCACCAGAGGATTTTGAAACTCATTACTCAGGGGTTTTCGAGAACGCTGATTATGAATATAATGTTAGATTTTAATAATTCAAAATGGCTGATCTAATACCGCGACGAAAAAAATTTAATTAGTTTGGAATTTTTCAAAAAGTTGTTATTTAAGGATTTTCGGCATTGCTAGTTTTCAATTAAAGTAAATATATCTACAGTTTAGGGAAGGAGTATAGATAAGTTGTAATAGATGGTATGGACTATTTCATTCATAATAGTAGTCCAAGATGAATAAATGGACGCACGTAGAGCGTAAAAATTAGTTCTAGTATGTATATTATGTCTCGTAAATATATTGCTTCCTCCTGGAGGAAGCTTTGTAGTCCTTTCGTTTATAAAATTTTTAAAAATGGTGAAAACAAATTTTCCTCTATATAAAAACATGTTATATGAGATCCTGGTCAAATTTCCGGACGATGTATGTGTGGATCGTTTTTGTGAACACGATATCTTTAACAGGTTTAAATCGATTTAGGTAAAATTTGGTAGGCTTATTTATCACATTAATCTCTCAAAAATGACGAGATAATTTTTAAAAATACCCCTAAAAAAATTTTATCGTCTTTTTTCCAAAATTTTTTTTTTAATTGAAAAAGTTTTTAAATAGAAAAATTTAAGGTCACATATAATAAAATCGTCTTCCTTACGTCAAGACGAATCGATTAATATATATAAAGTGTATGTTTAATTTAAATTTATAGAATTAATGAAAGTTAAAAATCAAAAATTCACATTTTAGCTAAAAAAATTTATGCTTACTTAAACTCAAGGTTATATATGAAATAATTTTATTTTTTGCATTGAAACTAATCGATTGGTATATATAAAGTATAGATTTGATTTAAATTTTAAGAATCGATGAAAATTGAAGAATAAAAAATTCATATTTTAGCCAAAAAATGTTGTGTTTATATAAATTCAAGTTAATACATAAAATAATTATATTCCTTGCATTGAAACGAATCGATTCGTATATATAAAGGATATGTTACAACCAAAATTAATTCAATTTACCTACTTAAAATTCATAAGTAAAAACATTATTTTTATTTTATTAACGTACATATTTGAAAACATTTTTATACGGCGTTGGTTTTTGATGCGCACGCAAAAAGTAGGAGAAAGGCACCCGACACTTGCCAAGATTGTAGGCGTGGAAAAAATCCGACATATATCGCGATCCGACACTTATCAAACCTGACACTTACCGAAATCGTACTGTATTGGGAGTTTTGTAATATATATAATAATTTATTTATTTCAACCTATTTGGTCCAGAAACAGACTTGGTTTACATTTGTCTTATCTCCCACATTCATCTATACTTGACTCTCCTTATATATTTTAATAATTAAGCCTAAATCTATATCCATGAAATAATTCATTAAATTCATCAGCTTTTGTGAGTAAAGTAAAAACTTTTTTGCTTTTGAGAAAAATAACTCCCTTCTCATCCGTATACGCAACTAGAAATATATAATTTGTTTGGAATTTTAAATTTGAGATTGTCTTTTCCTTATACCAAGATTTTAACGAAAAAGTGTCAGGAAAGATATGTCCTAGTCTAAAAGGAAATGCACTTTCAAACAATTCAGGTTCCCCAGTATTATCTAAATCGATTATAAAAATCTCCATGTCTGCAGCGACGGAAATCTCAGGTATAGTCCACTCAATTGTGACGCTACTATTAGTGACTTTTAAAACATTGACGAGTTTAACATCGCCAGTTTCCCTGATATAAGAATCAAGTTTTGAATCTGTAACAGAATATTATTAAAATAGCAGTATTTTTTCAATGCATGTTAATTAATAAGCATTAAAAAAGAAGGATATGTGAATTCTAAATGCTGTTTCGTACCTAAATGATGTTTAGTTCTGATATGTGGGCTATAGATATTACTAGTTTCTGCTCCGAAATGATGAACAACTAATGTAAATTCGTATACGGTTCTTGGTAAAAGATTTTTCACTGTGAAATTGGTAGAATTAAAAGGAAAAGGTATTTCCTGATATACCTTTTCAAATGTCCGCAGATGATTTATCAACACAGTATAATTCACAAACATGTAGTTACAATTTTTAGGCTTGTTCCATTGTAGAATGACAGATGTTACAGTGATATTAAATACTTCTAAACCTCCCCTAAGTAGACAACCATCTAGAAATTAAAATATACAATTACAATAAAATTCAAATTTAAAAATTACCCTTAACAGGTTGTTAATGTGTATTAAAACAAAAGTTTGAATTAAGCTTTAAACTGAAAAGTTAATTTTACTATTAGGTTGAAGAACGTAATGTTAAAAGTTTAACAAAAACAAAATTCATAATTATGCATTCAATTCAATAAAAATAACGAACATTATACATCAAACACTTAAATAGTAAATATTAAAAGCAAATCTAAGTGATTTTGATAATAATAGGGAAAATAATGCATTTTAATACAAAGAAAACAAATATCTTTCGTTCTCAACATTAACGATTGCAATTACTAAAAAATAAAAATTTGTTACACTCTTAAATCATGCCATTCAAAAGAGCACCAAAAAATGTGTCGAAAACGTCCATATTTTTTTAATTTTGAAGAGCGCTAAGGGTTGAAACTCAACGAAGAAAAAAAATATTTTCCGTTTTTAACATTAACGATTGCAATCACCCAAAAAATTAAAATTTGTCGCACATCAAAATCACTTAGATTTGCTTTTAATATTTACTATTTAAGTGTTTGATGTATAATGTTCGTTATTTTTATTGAATTGAATGCATAAATATGAATTTTGTTTTTGTTAAACTTTTAACATTACGTTCTTCAGCCCAATATTTTACTCTATTAGCTTATGTTCCTAAACACTTAAGTTTCATAAATGTTTTGTCAATCTTTAGTGATTATTCTCAAAAATTTAAAATACGACAAAAATGAAGAAACATCATTTTTTAAAATGTGTGTTGTTGTTTTACAATTCTTTTTAAGAATTATTTCATGAAACTTTAAAATGCAAAATAAGAATCCTGATTTTCAAATGGTTTTTACTAAGCCTAATAAAAGTTAATATTACAACTAATTACTGAATGTTCAGATACATACCCTTTATTTCTGTGAAGTTAAATCTAGAGCTAGACAACGTACTATAAGGAGTACCGTCAAAAATACGAACAAAAAATTGAACATATTTATCTTCAATCACATTGAATAATGTATAAGTTGGACAATCATCACTAGTACTATAATAATGACAATACCCAGATTCTACAAGGAAAACATATATGTCTAATATTAATTCGTTGTTTTATAAAATTATTATGGTATCAATACACCGTAATGAAAAAACAATTTATTCACTCATTCAATTGCTAGTACAATATCTAATTTTGCAATTAACCCCTTCGCTGTGTAGCAGAAATAAAGCTTCCGTGCCCCGTATGTGGTAAAAAAAATTTTTTAAAAAAAAACTTGATGTTACCATACCTAAGAATACCTATTGACAAGTTTATCGTATTGTGTCTACTTATTTTTTTCTAGATGCTACTATAGCGGTCATACACACTGGTGGCACGATATTTTTATGCCTCTATAGAGGTCAATAACAGTGAAGGGGTTAAAAATTGATTATTTAAACAATTGCATTTAATAATGCACTTGTGAGATATTTTAGAGCAAATCCAATGTAAAAAATTCATAAAAATTTACAGATTAAAAAACACTAAAGTCCTGGCGTATGATTTTAAACTGTAATTCGCGATGTATTTAATGTCTTTTGCAGATTTTGAAATACGCTAAGAACTTCGTGTGTTTTCTTTCCAATGTATTCAAAATTTTTTGCAAATTACTGTCAATTCAATACTAATTAATTTTAACAAATAATTAAAATTTACATTTTTAATTTCGAGTATTAGACACAGTTTTATCTCACGAGTCTATTGATAACAGAAACTTATTTTTCAACAAATTGTTACTCACCATAAGTTTTATAAGGACTTATTTGATAAATTATTAAACCAGTGCGATTGGGCTTTTTCCATTTCAGGGTGAAATTACCTGATGTTTTCATTTCCACATAAACCTCATCATTGGAACTAAAACAGATACCTGTTAAGAAAAATATGAAATTAAAATAAAATACGAATATAGAAAACAATTTACCAAAGCTGATAATTAAGTATGAAGTGAAAACAACTAATTATAATTAAATCCTTCTTACCTTCTGAAGAACTATTCTCACTTGGTGTCGTTTGACAATATGTGTGAACGAATATTGACAGAATGGTGATAATGGGTGAATAGAAACCCAATAATCTTGTAATTGACATTTTGCTAACGATTATGGTTTAGGTAAGCAATCAATAGAGTAAGATCAGATGTGGCAGCCTGAATAATATATTGAAACACATCAGTGTAAAAAAAATAAGCTCAAATAGTAATAAATAATAAAACAAGTCGGAGTTATAATGCTTCTACCTCTCTAGCATAAGTGTGATTTTAAAGACATAAATGATACTACAGAAACAAATTTACTGGCCTAAAATTAATTTCATTAAAGGCATGAAAGCCAGTAAGCAAAATGTAATTTTCCATGTATAATATTAATTTTAATCTGAAAATTCTTGAATTTTTAATTTAGGTATTATCGAATGCGGTCGTTAACCACACGCATGATGCCTAGTCCATATCTTGTGTCTAATTATTTTCATGTTTTACTTATAGGATCATCATAGACATCATTAAATAGATTAGTAGTTTGATAAATTTTAATTTAATATATCTAATATTGGGTTGAAAAATGAAAACTGCTTTTGTTGGCATGTTTACATGATTTACATAATTTTTGTAACAATATGCCTAATTAATCAGGATTAATATTTATAGGCATTTTAATCTTTTTTCGTACTAAAAATTATTCAATCTTTTTTTTATATAAAGTAATGAAATTACTTTAAGACTTATGTTTGGCTATACTTCAAAGGTATATCTTTTTAGTTCATTATTTTTTAACATCTTTACTCCTCAGCAAACTTTGAGCTTGTAAGGTTCATTGGAAATCGAAATAGGATTAACGCATAGAAACGACCCAGACAGCACAAAAACTTGCAACAACCTTGCAGCATTATAAAAATGCCAGGTTCTCAAGCTTGCGCGGCAAGCTTCCAACAAGATTGCCTCAAGTAACAAAATGTCCCACTTTGGCAAGCTTGCAATGAAAGGTTGCTGCAAGCTTTCAAAAAAATGTAGCCGCAATTTTGCAATGACAGATTGTTGCAACCTTGCAGTGAAAGCTTAATGTAAGCTTTCAGTAAAAGGTTCATATGTGCTTAACACAAGCTTACAATATGCTTGCTGCAATCTTACAAAAGACTTGTTCTTAAAATCACAAAAGGAAAAAATTTTAATTTTTTATTTATTAAGGGGGGGGGGGGTAAGGTTAATTCCATGAAAAAAATGCATATTTTTACGAATTTTTTTTGGCTATACAGAAAGAGTTAATATATTTATTAAATTTTTATATAATAGTACAACATTTGAATAGTATTTCACCAAAGTTTCATTGCAAAATATTGAGAATTGATCGAGTGACAGTACATTTCCTCTGGCTCCACAAAAAAAAGTTATTTTGCGGTGTTCACTGTAACTCGCAATAGAATCATCTAAAACAAAAGAATCAAAATGGATTTGTTAAAGGAGATGTTTTTTTAGGGATCCCTGCACAGAGAGAAATCTGCTGCGATTTGCGCATGAGCAAGTCCATAGGAATATAGCATTGACACTTCCAAGCAAAAACCATAAGATTCCATCTGAATATCAGGTGAGACTCATACAATAATACCTCGCTCACTTAGGATTTTTGCTTGAAAGCGTCTATTACTATATTCCTAAGGACATGCTCATGCGTAAATCGCACCAGATTTCTCTCCGTGTGGGAGGGTTTTTTTTTTTTATTTTTGAATTTTTTGTAGCACTTTGAAGCCAAAACCCGGCTGATTTTTTATAGAGAAAATCGGGTTTTTGGCTTCAAAGTGCTACAAAAAATTCAAAAATAAAAAAAAAAAACCCTCCCACACGGAGAGAAATCTGGTGCGATTTACGCATGAGCATGTCCTTAGGAATATAGTAATAGACGCTTTCAAGCAAAAATCCTAAGTGAGCGAGGTATTATTGTATGAGTCTCACCTGATATTCAGATGGAATCTTATGGTTTTTGCTTGGAAGTGTCAATGCTATATTCCTATGGACTTGCTCATGCGCAAATCGCAGCAGATTTCTCTCTGTGCAGGGATCCCTAAAAAAACATCTCCTTTAACAAATCCATTTTGATTCTTTTGTTTTAGATGATTCTATTGCGAGTTACAGTGAACACCGCAAAATAACTTTTTTTTGGGGAGCCAGAGGAAATGTACTGTCACTCGAACAATTCTCAATATTTTGCAATGAAACTTTGGTGAAATACTGTTCAAATGTTGTACTATTATATAAAAATTTAATAAATATATTAACTCTTTCTGTATAGCCAAAAAAATTCGTAAAAATATGCATTTTTTTCATGGAATTAACCTTACCCCCCCCCCCTTAAGTTTTTTCTTTGCATTATATATATTTTTCTATGTTAACTAAATATTACACGATAAAATCTTGGCGGGTATGGGGATTCGAAACCTGATTTTACGCACGCAAGTCGAGAACGCTAACCGATCTACTACCACGGACACGTATGAGAGAATAAAATTAACTCTCTCTTATGCTCTTACATTTCGATGCTCTTATGTTTCGATTGCATAAAAGAGAGTAAATTTTATTCTCTCATACGTGTCCGTTGTAGTAGATCGATTAGCGTTCTCGACTTGCGTGCGTAAAATCAGATTTCGAATCCCCATACCCCCCAAGATTTTTTCGTGTAATATTTAGTTAACATAGAAAAATATATATAATGCAAAGAAAAAACTTAATAAATAAAAAATTAAAATTTTTTCCTTTTGTGATTTTAAGCACAAGTCTTTTGTAAGATTGCAGCAAGCATATTGTAAGCTTGTGTTAAGCACATATGAACGTTTTATTGAAAGCTTACATTAAGCTTTTACTGCAAGATTGCAACAATCTTTCATTGCAAGATTGCGGCAACATTTTTTTGAAAGCTTGCAGCAACCTTTCATTCGAAGATTGCGGCAACATTTTTTGACAGCTTACAGCAACCTTTCATTGCAAGCTTGCTAATGTGGGACATTTTGTTACTTGAAGCAATCTTGCTGGAAGCTTGCCGCGCAAGCTTGGGAACCTGGCATTTTATAATGCTGCAAGGTTGTTGCAAGTTTTTGTGCTGTCTGGGGAATTATAATATAGCAATGTTGAAACATTGTAATAAAAAAACTTCAATGTAATAGTTTAAAAAATTAGTTGTATATTATTTAAATTTTTTTAGCATACATGAGAAATAATAATTATATTCATGTACAAAATAAAATAAATTTTCTTAAAGTTTTTGACTTTAAGGATAACATTCTCATCATAGCACTCGCGCTCGAAAGTGTGATGCGCAACTAGATGCTCGAAAATACACTTCATGATAATTTTAAAGAAAAATATTTTTTCGCAAAAATTCAGATTAAATCTAGAAATTAAATACATTTTAGCAATTGAAAATTGTTATAAAAGATGACAACATCTATAAAATCAAGTTTTTTAAACGTTTAAAATTAATTATAAAAAACGTCTTTTTAGATAAATTTACTTCATATATATGAATTTAATACATATTGGCAATTAAAAATTGCAAAAAGAAATCAAATTCAAACAATTGAGATTTTTAAAAAAGTTTCAAACAAATTTTTATAAATATAATCATTTTTTATTATAAACATTAATTCTATTTCTAGGAATTTAGAAAATTATAGTGATTGACAATTTATTGTTACCTTCTGCCTTATTCTTTTTCAAACTACTTCAGTTTTATTATATCGATAATACAAATTATAATAATTTATATAATGCTGACAACCGATCAATTGTAGCAACGATTCCTTGTGTTTCATCATTTTGTTTAAACATTTCATTAATTTTTATCAAAATGCAAATATTCAAAAATTATTCTGAATTAAGCAATATTATTTAATATTTAAACTATATAGATAGGTATATAAAATATATAAAATAATATGTATTATTTTATTATTTTACTATTATTAATTAATAAAAAGAATAGAGTCCTATATTTCCATTTTTTAAATGTAAAACGCGTCCATCATTAAGTTTAATTAAGAAAAAACACATTTTTTTAAATTTAAATTTAATTTTTAAAGGGCAGAGGAGGATAAGTATCCAAAAGTTGCCCCTGCATATATTCAAATAATATTTGCACCATATATTGCTACACATATGAGTATAAAATTCTGAAAGTATGAATCCATAATTAAAATTTTTACGGGAGTTATGGAGAAGGAAAGTAAAATATTAATACTAATTTTTCTCGAAAACTACTAAACGGAATAAAATATACTTTTGTCAAAAAATTAATTTTTTCAACCCCTTCTACAGCAACGTGATGCGCCGATAAATCATTGTTCGCCGGAAGGGTAGTTCAAGGTGCCAGAAAGTTTATTCAACAGTTTTTAAAATCGAAAACAAATAATGAGGCGCATAAATTTTCTCTAGATTTAAAATGACCTAACACTTATTTGACCTAAATTCAATTGTCCTAAAAGTCGTATGGACTAACTATTACTTGGCATAATCTGTATATAACCTAATTCTTATTTGACCTAATCTTCATTCAATCTAATCCTCATTTGTATTAATCATCATTTGTCCTAATTCTCATTTGGCCTAATCTTAAAATAACCTAATTCTGATTTAACATAATATATATCTGCCTTAAATCTTACTTGGCCTAAATTTTCTGTAACTATATACTTTTTTGGACTCATTTTTATCTGACTTAATTATTATACTTGGCCTAAACATCATTCGCCATAATTCTCATTTGAAATAGTTTTCATCTGGCACAATTATTGTTTGGACTAAACGCTGCTTAAACTAATTTCCATGTAATTTAATTTTTATAAAACCTAATTCTTATTTGGCCTAATCATATTATAACCTAATATGGTTCTAATATTTACATGTCCTAATTCTCTTTTGGCCTAATTTTACTATATCCTAATTTTTACTTGTTCTCATATTAATCTAATCTAATTTTTAATTCGCCTTATCTAAATGTAATCTAATTCTCATTTGGCTTAATCCTCATTTGATCTAATTCTCACTTGGCCTAAACTTTATTTGTTACACATTCTTGAACGTGAATAATAAGAGAGAAAAGAACAAAAATATGTTCTGTCACTTTCTCTCTCATGATTCGCGTTCATGAGCGGGTGACTAATAAA